TGCGAGCTTCCCTGCAGCCCCGTGCTTCCCTGAAACCTCGTGCTGACCGAACCTGACAGCCGCAACCACCAGGCCAAAACCAAATAGGCATTTTGCAGAAGATCAGTTGGTGCTACAGAAGCACCTGGACACAGAAGCAAAATGTCTGCCGCCTCCTCAAAGGAGCAGACAGGAGCCACTCCAGTTCTCCCTCCTTCCAAGTTCGCCTTGGCTCCCCCCTTCCTACCACTCAAAGTGAAATCAGGGTCTCTGATCAACAAGGTGGGTCAAATCCCCCCTATTTCCAACCTCCCAAAACAGGCAGCAACTGAGGTGAGAGGAAAACAAAATCATTTATTCTCAGTAAGCAATTTTGGCAATCTTACAATATGTGTGTAAAGAAATGTTATATAAAGCAAAACTACAAGTGACTTAGCCATCACAGTTATTAAAAGAGGGTAAGAAATACTTGAATGCATATTAATTTTTTTTTATAGGTAACCACAGTTTCAAAGAGACATTATTTGCTTTCTTGACTGGGCAAAACCGAACAATTAATTTGATGAATCAAAACCATCCCCCAAAATCTCAAGGAAACTGCAGCACTTAGGAAGGAAGCAGCCTGGCTGCACAGCTGATGTCATCTTCCATTTTTCTAAATTATTAAATCCATTAACTGAGTTGTAGAAAAGGTGTACCATTTTCTGTGTCTGAAGGCTGCCCTCAGTTAGTATATTGGTTATTTGTTAAACTTTTGAATAATCAAATATATAATCCAATTAATTGGGCAACACATTAATTTTTTAAAAAATTAACTATTTTTCTGGAAGAAATCTCAAGGCACACTTTCGAAATAGCAGCTGAAAGAGGCATTTTCCCTTTCCATCAATCGACAGAATGCCCCTTCCAAGGTGGTTTTTCTTGCAAGACGTTTACTCTACACATAAAAACAAAGCCTTCCTTCATTCTCCAGATGAATCAACTTCATTTCCTTTTCAGGGGAGTTCCTAGAATTACTCCTGCAGATGAAAAAACCCTGATATTCCCAGACAGAAATCTGGACAAGGGCACTCATGAAAGACCCAAAATACATCCTAGTGACAGCCGGCTGGAAGGGCCTGAAGAGGTCCTCCTAAGAGAACAGCGTAACTCAGAAGGTTGATCACTCTTCTTTCCTCTCTCCCTACATGGGGAGTCTGCAGCCCCAAAGTTGTGCTACAAAGAGGGCAGAAAAAACGAGGGTTAGCTGGAGAGGAAGCCAAGACGAGAAAGTCCAGGGTCCAGGCTGGAGGACCAGTGTTGATCATCAAGCAAAGAACAGAATCAGCAGCCTCAAGAGGGGGAGATGGAGATGGAGAGGGATCAGCTGGGGGGGGTTTCTGAGTTACAAGAAGGGA